ATTTACTAAGCCATTTAACAAACAAACATGGTCAATCATTTATAATTTTTTATTTATGCAAAAAACAATAGACAACCAAAAAATTTATATGGAACAAAAGAAAGCTATATGCGAAATTGGCATTAAGAAGGTTTTTGTCCAGTGAACCGAAAGCCTTGTCAGCATGTCCTGTGACTATCATTGGGGCAAAATTAGTCGTGTGACATACGGAATATACTGCGCATCTGATGAATATTTTATAAAGAATAAAAATACAAATAACGATAATAATAGAGATATAATAATGGATATCTAATAATAGAAATAGAATAAAAATAAAAATAACGATATAGGAACTAACAACCACATGGAAATCTAATAATACAATAGAACCTGTATATAGCATACTGTCGGCAGGTTTTGCATTTATATGTCACAAAATTCAATGATTTTTTTTCTTTAATAAAAAAATCAGTTAACACATACATATTTTATATAAAAAAAGATCTATTCTTTTATATTTTAAGTAAGCAATTGTTAAATATTTAAATATTTAGTTATTCCCAAAAAGGCCTGGTCAATTTTTTACACAGAAATTTTGTTGATACACGTGATTATGCTTATAACACATATGGCCCAACTCGGACCGAGAAAATTCTATGTTATATACGATATGCTTTTAGACAGGTTCTAATGTAATAAAAACAAAACGATGGCATCCATCGTCAAAATCTAAAATTTACACGCGTGTAACCGGAAAATGGCCGATTTCAAAATTTTTTAATAAATTTTATCGAAATCCAATAGGATTTCTCACCTTTCTTAAATTATTTTTAAGAAAATAAATTAATATTAATATGATAATTTTAATATAATAAAATATCTTATTAACGTTTCCTTTGCGTAATTTTCAAAATTTTGAATTTTTAATGATCAAACCTGTTTTAAAAACATCTTTGACCAAAAACTGTTTTGACCTGACGCGTAGATCGTCATCACAGATATTATGATTGGTCATTATTATTTTTATAGATAGTGTCGTTCTAAATATAATGCTCTCTTAAATTGTTTTTAAGTAATCTTTTGAGAAAACTTTTTTTTAATTTGAAATGAATAAAGATGATAATTTTAATGGTTTTCTTTAAATAGGATTTAATATAATGATAATAAATATAAAAGAAATATAAATAATGCTTTTAAAAAAGATAATTTTTTATTTAGTTTCGTTGAAAACCTTTTTACAACTAGTTTCTTAATAAATTAAAGACAAAAATGAAAACAATTAATTTGATATTCATAATTACAACAATCTTAACATCGATAGTAGATATTTTTACAAATGCTGCGATAATCTCAAAAGAATCCTCGGGATACATAAATATTAAAAAAACATTTATTGCAGAAAAACCTTTAGAATACAATGGAACACAAATCCGTAAATATGACTTTAATGTGGCCAATAAAATGTTAGCTCCAGATGGTTATATGCGGGAAATGACAGTCATAAATGGCGAATATCCCGGTCCAACGATTCATGTAAATAAAGGAGATAAAATTATTGTCAATGTGACGAATGCAATTGGAGCTCACTGTACAATTCATTGGCATGGCCTATTTCAGACGGGAACTAATTGGTTTGATGGCGTTCCTGGCATATCGCAATGTCCAATTCCAAATGAAAAAAGCTATTCCTATGAATTCGAAACTGGTAGTCAAAAGGGGACTTTTTGGTATCATAGTCATTTTTCCACTCAGGCTGTAGATGGTATGGTTGGAGCCTTTATAGTCCACGACCCCGAGGATCCATATATTAATGAATATGACGAAGAATTTATCATTAATATCAGCGATCATTTCCATACTCAATCAGGTAAATTGATAGCCCTTAGATTACAACCAAATTATACAGGCTTCAATCCAGTACCTGATGCAGGTCTTATAAATGGTGCAACTCAAATAGACTGTAGTAAATTAAAAGAAAAAGAAAAAGAAAATTGTGACACTAAAAATGGTATATCTAGATTTATTTTTGAGCAAGGTAAAACTTATCGACTTCGTATCATTAATTTTAGGTAAGTTATGTGTTGTTTTATAAGATTTTTCTTTTCTGAAAAAAAATTTATTTATTTATTTATTTTATTTGTTTTGGATTAAATAGTGCTGAATCCCCATTCACCTTTTCTATTGACGGCCATCTTCTTAAAATAATCGAAGTTGAAGGAACTTATGTCGAACCAAATTATGTCAGTCATCTTTACTTAAATGTTGCTCAACGATATTCTGTTATCGTCAAAGCAGATCAAAGAGTTGACACTTATTGGATGCGTGCAAATCGTGCAGCAGAATGTCTCGTAACTCCAAACAACCAAACAATTAATTTCGATTCACCAATCAATAATAATGTCACAGCATTAATTCAGTATGATAATGCTCCACTGAAAACTCCAGTCAGCGAAATGTTACCTTATGACAATGATTTTCTTCAATGTGAAGATCCATCTTGGGAAAAATTAAGACCATCAAAAGAAATTGAAAAAGATCTTCCGTCTTTTACAGGACCTGCAACAAGTCTTTTTAATTTCCAATTTAAATTTGGTGTTAATCTACAAAATGTCAGTCTAGTATACGTTAACAATGTTTCATTTATTCCACATCTTAATTTACCCACTGTTCAAAAACTTTTTGATGGAATAAATCCTCGAGAATTGGCAAAATCGGAGAATAAATACCTGATTGCTTCGAATGGAACTGTAGATGTAATAATCGTAAACGACAACGGGGCTCAACATCCTTTTCATCTTCATGGTCATAAATTTGGAATTATAACTGAAGGATATCTTTTAGATGGAAAACCAACTTTTAATGAAACCACACGTTACAATTTTGAAAATCCAGTAATTCGTGATACTGCAAGTGTACCTCCGTTCAAGTATTTTATAATAAGATTTAATGCGACCAATCCTGGTGTTTGGCCATTACATTGTCATATTAAATGGCATATTGAAATGGGTATGCTAATTCAGTTTATTGAACGACCAGATGATTTATTAAAGCTTGAATATCCCATAGCTGCTAGAGATTTGTGTCATGGAATCATAGAATAATATTATTGTAAACTAGGCGGGGGGGGGGGGTTTGAAATTTATTGTATAAAATTAACTTTTTCCTATGCATGTAATAAAATTTTTGTATATTTATTTTTATATCAAAATAACAAGCATAAATATGACATTGTATAGGTTATATATACTATTCCAAGGATCAATTAAAAATATAGTTGTGCATTTTTTCACTCTTTATTTTTTGTATTTGGGAAACTCCCAAATTATCTTCAAGCAATTGGTTGAAAGTTTGAGAACCTTATTCGCCCACTTGGTCCTCAAATCAAGAGAGAGTTCGTTTAGATATTTGGGACGAAGAATTTTGGTTCTAACCTGGTGAATAGATCGGTGGGCATAATTTTTAACAATCGAGCAACTAGTTTCGCTTGATGCTTTCCTTGAAGACAATATATATAATGTATATAATTTTTATAGTTATACTTGTGGATAATAAATAGGTTAATCTCATTCAACATCTAAATTGTTAAACGACCCTAAAGTATAAAGTATAGTTCAACAATACTACACATAATTGTCATCATAGCGCGCTTGGATAATCTTTTTTTATTATAAAATATTTTATAAAATATTTTTTTCTAAAGATAGATTGACTACTTCTATAATATCATCCTGATTAGAGTCTGTGAATAAAGTTCCAGGATAAACCTTACTTCCCCAATTTGGATGTAATAAAATACTACAACAACCCGCATTCAAGACATCATATTTTAATAACTCATATGATCCTTGTACATCAGGATATGTAGAAACACCAGCTTCAGAAAGTATCTTTATATAAAAATAAATTGTTATTCTTTTGATATTGATAAATATATGAATTCCTTTTTTTTCATTTTGATTCTACTTACGGGATAGCCAGACGCAGGATCTGTTATATCTGCCCAATAACCTCTTTCTCTTAATCTTTTGCAAACAAATTTTCCCCATTCGACAAACTTATTAATTAACAATAAATAGAAATAATTAATTAATCATTAGATGCAAGGAAAATTAAATTAATAGAAAAATTTTAATTTTTAAAAAAATATACATGTTCCAATCTCTCATCTTTTTCCATGTCAATTTGACTTCCAACGCCAACTAAATCATTGTGACATTTTAAAAATATAGGTAAAATTAAGCAATTTTCTATTTCCTTAATATTTTTGGGGAAAATATTTTTCAATTCTCTTGTGAACCTTGTAGATCCTTTGTGAATCGAGTATTCCAAGATAAAGGGTGTTTGTGTTTTTGGATTTTTGACTGTTATTAAAGTTGGAGGATGTAATATCATCGACCGCTTTGTCGTTTTATAAGACGAGGATAATGGCGTGGAATTAATTTTAGATGATGAATTTTGTGTTTGGGGTTTTAATGATTCCATAGTTTAATTTGATGATTATTTGAAAAATTTGCTTCTTTTATACAAATATTTTGGTGTCACAGTAAATAACATAATTTTCGTTCAAATTTTTGCAATTATTATTATTTGTAAAAAAAAATCCAATAATGGTGATAACCCGGTTTATTAACATAAAAAAGGTTTAAAAAAGATTAACTTTTTGATAAAAATATATCAATAGATCAAAAAAAATTTTTTTTACAAATCGCAGTAATGGTGACCCAAATAAAGGTCTTTTGTTTCCATATTTTCCACATGCAAAATGTTTCAAAACAAATTTGGTTTCAAAATATGTATGTTACGCATTATTAATTCATTAATTTATATAAATTTGTAGATGAATAGATAGAGATCTTCAATAAAAATGATTTATATCTCAATTTTGTTACTATTATTGCAACAATTAAAAATACTATTGCCATTACTATTAATTAGTTCATTCATTCGCTAATTCTAATTTCACCCTTCACTAATCTAATTCATTCATTATTCCAATACTTACAACCAAGACACTAAAGATGTCTCCATATAAAATTAAAAGATTGTAAGTATCATAATAATCGTTATCACCATTAGATAATTAAAATGTTAATATATATTTGTTTACATACACACATGTATATATAATTTAGCATTGATACTAGTACATTATCAACATTATCTTCTTCAACAATAATATCACAAACACCATCGACAACCTCTTCATTAACATCAACAACTCCGCAATCAACATTACAATTAACAGATCCGATAGACATTACAAAAGAAGTCTTAAAACCGTGGTTAATACCAATCGTATTAGTGGTACTTGGATTTATCTTAATAGCTTTTTTATGTTGCTGTGTAAAATGGGAGAATATTTTTAATAGAAAAAAAAATAAAAAGAAAAAAAGTAAACCGACATCTTCTAATGCTACTACTAAAAGATCGGTAAATGATGATGATAATAACAATTGTAATTGTAATTGTAATTGTAATTGTAATAATAACACAAGTACATTTTCAAATGATGAACAAGAAATTAAAGATGACGAAAAGGTTCAAGATAAAGATGAAATAATAAGTATTATAGTTGAAAAAAAAAATAACCACAACGAACATAATGAAGATTTAACAATTGATCAAACAAACTTTAGTAGTAGTAGTAGTAGTAATAATAATAATAATAATAATAATAATAATAACAATAACAATAACAATAATAATAATAATAATAATAATAATAATAATAATAATAATAATAATAATATTAATAATAATAACAACAATAATAATATTGCGAACGATACAAGACAATCATCAATAAATGTTAGTAATTCTGCTACAACCATTTCAGATGTTATATTGAAAAGAACTCCGACTACCTTTTCAGTATTTAAAGAAATGGTTGAAACTGAAGTTGACAACACATTTATCGGAAAATCTGATGGTAATATAAACAGTAATGTTAGTAACCCAAGTGGGAATGTTAATAGTAATGTTAATATTAATATTAGTGAAGGTGAAATAAATAGAAATCTTAATAATGATAAGACAAAAATCTACTTATCAGAAGAACAATCATTGTCAAAAGATCAAGTTGATAATCCTAAAACTTTTTCATTCAATCCTTTCAAAAGAAAATCATCATCAATTAAATCAATTAATAATAATGTAGATAATAGCATTTTTTATGCTTCCAGAACAATTAGTAGTTATAATAATAATATATAAATATTAGTAGTAATAATAACAATGACTTTTACATGAAACATTATTTATTTAGAATTTGTAATATTAATTTGTAATAATAGAAATAATAGATAAATCATCAGTAAATACGATTTGTTTATTATATATTTCCAAAAAAATAGATAGAAATAATAAAGATAGATATATTTATATTTGACATAATCTTACTGTGCAAAATACATACGGGTAACCCCTTTGATACCAATTTCTAAATGTACTTTTTGTTAATCTAAGATGTGTTGCCCTATTATTTTTGAAAAAAAAAAATAATAAAAGTAATAAATATATATTATATATAATGCTCCTCATGCACAAGCCGATACACACACAGAGGCCAGAACGAGCCAAGGTCTATATATTTTATATAGTATTTTTCAGACTTGTGCAAAGTTCTGATAATATATAAAATGTAAATATATATTTTGCTTGCCATGAGCCACCAAAATAATAGCATGTTTACAATCAAAGAAATCTTTTGAATAACTAGGGTAAATTTTACTTATTTAAACCCTGGATATTTATCAAATTCACTTGATCTCCATTCCCATCCAGATCTTAATGCTTGAATTAGATCACTATTGCTTGGCACATCAACTGGACACCAATTTTTGAATCCGTGTTTGATAAATCCATTAGTGATGATGGTGACTTATATATTGTATAGAATGCGACTAATTCTTTTTTTGTTGGTAGTCTCATTTTTTTCCATCCTGTGTATTTACATGCTTGTTCTTGACTTAGCATAACCAGGCAAATTCAGTGCTACATTCATTTTAACTGCTCCAACTTTATATTCAAAGAATTGTGGATCAATTGGAATCCATGATCCTGAATATTCTTTGTTAACTGTTGCTCTCATAAACACAAGATATTCTCCATTAGTCACTGGTCTTGAATGGATTTTAAAAGATTCAACATTGATTTCTCTTCTAGGCGACTCATTATCCCATCCAAATGCTTTACTCAAGTTGTAATATTCATCACCGTCATCATCTTTATATTCATTGTCGTCATGGCCTGCTGTAATAGTTTGTTTTGGAATTGTTATCAACTTAGCTTCTGGTGGTGGAGTAATTGCTTCTTTTCCGTAAAGTGAATGGCGATTGTACAAAAGTCATAAATAATACTCTTCCTACGTAAAACTTCTTTTCATGGTTATTTTTTCTCTGTATACTTTTTCATATACAGAAGCAAGTCTTTTTCTAACTTTACCACTAAATTCTATAATTCCGGCCATTCATTTAATGCCATTCTAGGGATGTTAATCGATTTAATCGAAAAATCGAAAAAAAATCGCGTTAAATAAATTAACAGTTGTAATAATAATAACAACAATAATAGCAATAGTAATAATAATAGTAGTAGAGTAATATTTGAAGCAATTTTAATTTTAGAAGTCTGGTTTTAAAAATTAAATGCCATAACCTAACGAACAAATTCATACATAATATACAAATTAATATACATATTTCATTCTAAACATTATAAACATAATAATAATAATAGCAGCGCCAATAACAACAACAATAGTAGTAGTAGTGATAAATAATAATAATAATAGTAGTAGTAGTATATTAATATTTGAAACAATTTTAATTTAGAAGTCTCAACTAGAGAAATAGCCGAATTAGACAGAGATGAATTTGAATCATATAAAAACATACCCCAAGTACTTCCTGTTGAAGAAAATGAACCATTAAAATGGTGGTGTGATAATGAAAAAAAATTCCCAATACTTGCTATTTTAGCCAAAAAATATTTGGCAATCCCTTCTTCATCAGTTCCTGAAGGAAGGACTTTTCTCTGATGCAGGACAACAAATTACTTTGTTACGAAGATAGACTTAGCTCACAGTCTGTTGACCATATTCTTTTTTTGAAACGGAACAAAAAATTTGTTGATAATTTTTTTGCCTGTCAAAGAATAATAAAAAATAAAATTTTAAAATTTATGTTGTAAATAAAACGGAATTTATTGAAGCAACATCCAATCGTGTTTTGGACATGTGACCTATATAGTTTCTTTCAGTTTATTACTACTGTAATATGTAAAAGTTGCTAACTCATAGGCATAAAACAAATAAAGCTACTACTACTACTATTTGCAATGTAAAAATCGATTTCAAATCGATTTTTTCGATCAATTCATAATCGATTATAACCAGTAGGTCGCAATATATATATATTGCGACCTACTTACGTTAGACTGTTACCTACTTATGATTAGACTGTTACCTACTTATGATTAGACTGTTACCTACTTATTAGCTGTGACGTGGGTTTTGCATTTTGGTCGTCATTCGAGTGACGTGTATTTTGCATTTTGGTCGTCATAGATGGGATGTTTATAGTCTAAAAATTGGGTGATGTGCATTTTGCATTTGCCTCGTCAAAGATGAGGCACGTAGTGCCGAATCGTTATCCTATTTGAAAACGTGAGGATGAGGCACGTAGTGCCGAATTGTTATCCTATTTGGAAACGCGAGGATGAGGCACGTAGTGCCGAATTGTTATCCTATTTAGTAACGCGAGGATGAGGCACGTAGTGCCGAATTGTTATCCTATTTGGTAATCCGATGATGAGGCACGTAGTGCCGAATCGTTATCTATTATGTTATCTTAGAATGAGGCACGTAGTGCCGAATGGTTATCCTTACTTGGTGATACGTAAAAGCAAAAATTTATCTTATCTCTTTCCTTATAATATTCTGCCTTTGCGTAACACTTTTTTGATATCTGTTTAATGGTACTATGTGTCTTGACACTAGCTCCGGGCGATGACTACTCTCCTCGACCCAAAAACCCGCTTTGATAAGTGTCTGGTCATCTAAATCCTATCATCCAAAATCACACGACACAAAAACCCCTTTATATAATCTAGATATCAGAGTATTAATTTTTGATTTGAATTTTTCTGCATACTCATTGTAAAAGGCGACAAAAACCCCTTTACCTAAAATATATGGCTAGAAATACTCCCAGTCAGAGTATTCTGATCGCATTATTTTGAAATAACAATTATGCATATTCGATAAAGGCTAAAGATTTATTTTTCAATTCTCTTTTGTGCGGAGTAGTAGGAATACCCAATTTAGTTTCAAAATTTCGCTTATATTCCAAGAACTCAGCTTCATTCATGCTTTCGCGCTCTTTTTTCCAGTAATTTTGATTATCCCGCATTTCAAAGGCAATCTTTTTTCTCCATTGATCTAATTTTTCTTGAGACATTTGATATTTTTGCTGTAAAAGAAGAATAAGGATATCTATATCAGATTCGCTTTTAATAAGGAATTCTGAAGATAAAGAAATTAGAGATTCAGATATTTTTTTCTCAGCTGTACCGGCTTCATCAATAGTATTGACATAGCATACATCTTGAATATGATCCTCTCTATGTTCACTTATTTTATTTGAATCGATTGATTGATCTTGAGCTGGCATTTTTAGCCACTGTGTGTCTGCCTCCGGTAAAGATAAAGCTTTTTCATCAATCGCATTACTAGATGAGTCAGAAATTTCACGCTCAGCATATTCTAAAGTAGTATTGTTAGTAATAGGTATAGAATCGAAAAAGTCCTGAATCTCATCACTCACCTTTGACTTATATGATGGAAGAACTGGGACTTTAGAGCGATATTCAGGATTATCTAACTTTCTAGCCATTACTTCTTCTTGATTATCGAAACCACGTCGTTTATATGGCTTTCGGTTAATTTGATATGAATATTTCCAAACTCTTTTTTCTTTAGGACCTATCAATTTTCGTTCACTATTTATAGTATAACCGCACCAATTGCCAACAATTGCATTAATTGCTTTTATAGCCGATTTAAGATCTGGTATTTCCTTTGCACGAGACTTGAAGCCAAAGAGCAATAAAGATTGACTTCGAATTTCTATAAATTTTTCACGAGATGCCTCAAATGCAACTTTTACCTGATCGTCACAGAGAATGCGTTTATCATCTATACCTGTAAAACCAAGCGACTGTAAAAGCCCGCATACAGCTTCCCAATGATTTGCTGAATATGTTTTGCGTAAATCTTTTGCTACGGAATCCTCGAAATTATCTTTAGCATTATAACATGTATCTTCCCATTGTGCGATATCTTTGGCCTTTAATTCTTCTATTGCACTCTCTTCATCATAACCTTGCTTGTAAAAATGAGATAGATGCAAGAAATGTTTTCTAGGTTCGGGTGGACTAAAACGTTCTACAAAATCTTTATCGCAGAGTTTATTCCAATCCTCGATGCTCATACCATTTCCATCATAAAGGTTCCACATATAAAAACGTTTAAGTGCCATAGTATCTGCAACTGAGCGTTCTGAATCAAGTTTAAGAAATTCAGCTTCCTCAGGAGTAAGATTTCGAGAAGTGGCGACTGCATCAAAATCTGTATGCTTGATAACCGATACTTCAGCCCTAATTTCATTACGAACTTTTTTACGAATCCCTATAACTCCTCGGCTCTCATCCATTTTTATTAGTTTGAGACTTGCCCCAGTACTAGCAATAAGGCTACATGAAATCTCGATAAAATTTCTTGCTGAGAGACGTTTTTGATGCTCAACCTCAACAAATGATGTTACAGCAGGGGATTGATCAAGTTTATAGGAAATGCTATCTTTATCCCATTCACGATGTCCTTTAATTGCTGTAGGCAAATCATTGGGTCGAGCTATTGCAAGTTCTGCACGAATATTTTCATGACCTGGTGTGCGAGAGAGTTCATTGGAATTTTTTTGATAAAAGAGAGAAAGTATACGCTTTTCACAATCACGAATTCGGAACATCATCTGGATAAACGCTTCGACATTAACTGGAGTTGCAATATTTGTAATGCCTATAACTATGTCAAAGTGATTAGGTTTCTCGAAAGAAATACCTGCTTCTACTGTATTTGTATAAGCTACACAATCAAGTTCGCCCCAAGCTGTATTAATATCTAAGAAGTCATTTTTTCGTTGTTTTCCATCCATATCTCCATAATAAGCACGAGCTTTAAAAGATAATTTAGAAGCCTTTTCTACTAATGCTCGAGCCATATTAGAACTTGTTACAACAAATGCCACGCGTTTACCTTGCTTCAAATACTCAAACCCTATTCGCATAGCTTCAGCTCCAGTATTTGGATCAGGAAGATATTCAATAGTCTTACCTATAAGAGGCTGAAATTTATTATCAATCACTCGGATATTTTCACCACGATAAGCCTTAAGGAATGTTAGTGTACTTTCATTTGCAAATGCATCCATGGCTAAAACATGTTGAGCCGATCTTAATACATCACGCATTGCATTTTCAGATTCCCGCGCATTTGAACCACTATTCATTTGACGTTGAATTGCATTGACTTCATCTAAAACCGCTATAATAAGACGAGATGAGAATTCAATACGAGAAAGGCTCTCTACTTGAACTATAATAACATCCCATTTATCTACGGATAAGTGCTGTTCATCTTGGTAGTTACAGATTTTGAGCCCCGTTGATTTGAGTTCATTGATTTTTCCTTGTGATTCGTTACTAAGAGTTTTTCGATAAGAGATCCAAATAATAGCAGGTAATTGTGTTCCACTTCTAGATAAAGTCTCAATATTCCTTCTTAAACCTTTCGTTTTTCCTGTCATCATAGGAGAGCGAATCAAAGTTGTACTAGGTTTGTTACTCAAGAAATTGGGATAAACTTCTGGAGCATTTTCCATTTCCTTTACATTAATAACTTCTCCAGGTAATTTAGGAAGTGGACGTGGATTTAATACAGCTTTGGCGATTCTTTCATTTAATCCCATTTTGGGTTTCACTATTGATTTGACTTTGTCAGATACTTTATCGAAGCTAAGGCCCTTGTGATCTGGCTTATATTGTTTTTGACGATAACACTTAAGTATAAAATTTCCATTTTTTCGAATAAATCCATAAAGTTGATCTTTTTCATGTTTAACATCGCATATAGGGCATTCTTTAACCAATTGTGCTTGAAAGTTAACAAACCCTTTCTCGATTCTTCCAATCTGGAGCCACCCATATTCTGCAATAGCTAAATTAGCTCCTTTAACCAAAGCATCATCATCATCAATAGGTTTAAATTCCTCTTCTGCTGGCCTTTCTTCTGAAAAAGTTCGTGGCCAGATTTCTGAAAAATTTTCTTTAGGCTAAACTAAATAATCCTCTAGATTTTTAAATCCCTTATTAACAGAAGAAATAGCAGGTTTTTTTATGCGTTCTTCTTTTGCTGATCCAAGAAGTCGAAGACTAAAACGTGACTTGGGAAGGCCAGCATCAATAAATTTCGAGTAAGGATTTCCTACTAATTCCATGACTTTTTCAGTAAAGCCTTTAAGTTCTCTATAATCTATAAATCGAGCATAGGGATAGACAATATGCCAACTGCATTTATTGGCATTCGATGAACTTGCTAATGCAAAAGAATTTAAGAAAGGTATACATCCTGGAATAAGGCTTAATGCGTCTGCACAAGCGACTAAAATTCGAGATATCAAATCTTCACGGGTAATTTTTTCACTATCTAGAGAAGGAAGTTTAGGATCGGAAGGATCTGGTTTTGCCTTGCATCAATATCGATAATTAAGCGGAGGGGTTGGTTCCCATCGATACATTCATGGGTATCAGGTATTCTATAAACTTCGCTAGGATGATCGATCACTGTATAACCTTTTCCTGCTGTCCGAATTATATATTGAGAATGAATTTCTTCAGGTCAATATGCATCTAAAAGTGCAGTATCATTTTTATTAGTATGGCCATGACCCTTTAGGGTTGCCCCTTCGGGCCTGGATGCAAGCCAGTATTTATAAAATGTATGTTCTCTATGACCAGGTTTATAATCAAGATCTGTTAAACCTATGAAGAACCTTTTTGCTTCATTATATTCGGCCGATTTTTGATTTAGGCACTGTTGTTGTAATGATTTGCGTAACTGTTTTTTTGCTTCACTAGACAAACTCATGTATTGATTTGTATATATGCGTTGTTTCTATATGCGTGTTGTTTGATCTGACAAAAAGTATATGTAGTATTATTTTGAAACTATATAATCGATAGATAAATCTTTAAAATAAAATTAATTATTCCAAAAATTTGATTGAAGTTTATTATATATACTTATGATGAAATTATACAATTGCTCACAAATTCGTAGAACTGGAGAAATCTGTGGTCGAAATAGTAAATCAGAAAAATGTTATATCCATCGTAAATCTCCAGTATATACTCCTTGTAGAGATTGTGGCGAGTCAAATAGGTCTAAATATAATGCATGCGATAAACATGTAGGCAAATATAAAAGTAAAGAGATTTATCACAGAAAAAAGCAGGATGTATTGTGTATACAAATTGCTATGATTGAGAATCATATACCCGACTTACCTGATTCTAGACATGAAGTATAATCATCTGCTTGGCATATACCGATTATTTTTTCCAAAACCTCTTTAAGTAATGCTATATCCTCTTTGATCCCATTGATATTTTTAGTAATTTTATTATGTAAAGCTACGGATTCCAAGACTTTATTTCGGGAGAAATGGCACTTTGTGTCTGATTGATCTCGTGTCTTACTCATATCCATTTCTCAATAGAATTACATTAATCGCTACCCATTCAATTTTTGGGTATATATACTGACCTGGGATAATTAATTTCGATTTGAAAAAATAAGTAGGTTAATGTACAATCACAATCTACTTATCGATATATATCTATCATGGCAACTCTCCAAAAAACCCAAAAGCCCAGAACTAATAACTTTACCTCGATTTTGGATCTGTTCCTAGAAAAATATAACTTGTCCGCCAAATCCGACCCATCTCAATTACGTGACTATGCCAGTGAACTCGGTGCTATGCTTCCAAATTGGAAAGCCCGCAAAAGCGTAAAAGAAGCTCTTCGCCGACGCTCATTCAAAGAAGACCAGATCAAGGCTCTTGTACCAGATAAAAGGAATGAAAAACTTACTATCAAAGAGAGAGCCCAATACTGTGCGAAAACTGGAGATCCATATGATATTTACTTTCATGCTTTAGATTTAATTGAGACAAAGAATGATAGTGATGAAGAAATTGTCACATCCAGCTCACGTCTTACATTATTTCGTAAGGAATTGAAAGAAGCTGGGGTTGATTCTAAAGTAATTGATATATATGCTAAATTTTCAGCACTTACTCAAGATTCTAACAAAATTCAGAAGAAGCAACTTGTACAGCGATTACCCAATGCTCCTAAAACCCCTAAACACTTCTCCTTAGAGGAGGGACTTAGAAGAATTCAAAATATTGATACTACTAAAATTCCCACTATGCAGGATCTTGCGGA